TACATTTCGCTTCTCATTTCAGCCAAAGTGTCAACAATCTGGAATACTCCCCCATCCTTCTAGCGGTATTTTTAGAACAAACAAACAACTGATATATTTAGCTAAAATAAGTCCCCTCAAGAAACCCCAGTTTGGCTCATTTTTTGCTCCCGGTTCGGCTATTAAGCTCAAGTCGGACCAGTGACCGGAACCAGCACCCAAGCTGGAAATGACACGGACAGGGTGAACGAAAAACACCCCTGGAATCACACTGCCCATGTCTTTGTCAAAGACCTCCTCCAGTGTCTGAGTTTGGCATTGTTTTTAAAGGGAGCCCTTCCACCTGGTGCCATCCACAAAGCAGCAGAGAGCGGACATGGACGGTCCAGACTACTTCTTGAGTGCGGTCTCCCTGGGGGGCGTGAGGGGCCGAGGACTACCTGCCCTCTGTTCGCTAAGTAAGCTGGTGAGCAAGTGCATTTGGTACCATAGCCAGCTAGTAAGTAAATGTGTGAACAGGAAATACTTGAAAGTAAGTCTTCCCATTAAACTCTCTGGCTTGAAAAAAAAACCAATCGATTCTCTCTGAACCACAAAGCTCTTGGTCATTTCCAAAATGGGGGCGGGAGTGAGCCAGAAGCTTGAAACAAAACAATCTATTCTCTCTGAACCACAAAGCCCTTGGTCATTTCCAAAATGGGGGGGGGGGGGAGTGAGCCAGAAGCAACGCTACTGACCTGCCCCTCCCCAAAGGCCATCCCTCTGGAGCATTTCCCTGTCTTTATTTCTGACGTAGCTCCTCCCATGGCCCCGATTTCCCCATATTCCCAAGTCTGAGGATGGGAGCTCAAGTGAAGAAAGGAGACACTTGGGTCTATTTCAGTGGATGATGGCAGATGCCACAAGAATGGGAATCCTCCGATCACCTGGGCCTAGAAAGGAAAGAGCCCAAAGCCAGATGTGACAAGGACAGAGGAATCCAGGAGGCTCTGTAGGATCGAAATGGCACCCTCCACTCAAAGTCAGGACGGGAGCCAGAAAAGAGGAAACCGGGCAGGGTGCTGGGAAACTGAACCAGCTCTCTGGGACCAGAGGTGGACAATGCATCTCTCTGGGATCGGATGCCAAAGGGGCCCTCGAGTCCTTGTGCCAGGAACCTGCTGCTGTGAATCCTGGCCTATTTTACATTTCCCACATTCTCTGGCTTGACGTCCTGCGTGTTCTCGTTGAGTACAGCATGAAGGGTTTGGTTTGGTTTTGCTTGGCTTTGTTTCAGCAGTGTGAAGGAGACCAAAAGCAGGACCCTTGTCCCTGGGGGCTGGAGCTTTCACAGGGGGCCCTGCTCTCCAGGATGCAGGTGGCAGGGGCCACGGTGGCCATCTTTGTTTCCTCTGAGGCACTCGGTGCATTCCAGAGTAACTCTTCACGTGTCACTGTGAGTGGTATGAAGGCGGGGACACTGCTCTCGTCGTCCTTGGCAGAAAGTGGGGGCTCTCTGACCTTTCACTAGGGGGTGTTCAAAGGACATTGAATCGGGTCATCTGTAGTGGGGTTATTGATTCCAACCAGCTGTTTCTGGCTCAGGGTTCCCATGAGAATACTCATGGGATAAATGTGGACATTGTCTTCCTTACCTTCTTTCAGGTGTTTTTGTTTTGTTTTGTTTTTGAACAAATAGTAAATAGTTGAACTTTCATGACCTTAAAATGCAAAAAGACCATTATGAATGCACCGACATTGAACTGTATTTGGACCGTTGGACGTGTTTTGCACAGTTGGCTGGGTAACTCACAGGTACTTTACATGACCCATATGCAGGAAGCAGAAATCATTATTTTATATAGCAAACTTGGCAGATTAAGACCGAAATGGACCATAGAAGAAACACAGACACATGCTTAGTTAGCTATGACCTAAGGCTCCCAGACTACTCAGCAGGGTCATTACTTTCAACCATTCATTGCACAAACGTGTATTAATGTTTGCAGCATGCCAACCACTGGGGTAGGTGCTAGGGATCCAGAGGTTTCAGGAAACCCCTTGCATGAAGTCTGAAGATGATACTCCATACGTTGAATTGTTGAACGAGACACTCAGAAGAACTTGAGATCTTGTAAAGAAAAACACCAAAACAAATAAACCTGCATGCCACCAGTGGGGATAGATGGCTTTGGTACAGCTGCCCTAGCCTGGCCTCTCCCAGCTGCTGGGCCTCCTGAGGAGCTCTGTCCCCTGGCGGGTGGGAGAGTGGCATGTCCTGCTTTCTCTCCAGCATACTCTGAAATAACCATGAAAAGGGGAACTCTCTGGAAAGGAAGCAGGATACTCCCATGAGGACTTTAGACTGGCCGCATGCATGTGGACTCGGGGAGCAGAGCTTGGGCCAGCACAACTCTCAATCTGAGGACAAGGCCATCCCTAGTCCTGGAGAAGAAAGGGTCTTCTCATAAACAATTTGGACTTCAAATACACTTCTCTCCCATTTCTTCTTTTCCAGTTTTTCTTCTACCCTTGCCTCATAAACCCAATTCTTCAGTTTCTAAGCCATTTCTTGTTGCCTTTTCGGTATTTTGTCTCTCTTAACAAGCATCCACGTTCCCTGAAGGCAACACCAGAGACCCAGAACCTCACAGAAAGATTACGTAAACGGGCCGGCGCAGGGGGAGGCTGCTTCCCTGCTTCAGCCAGCCCCTCCCAGAGGAGTGGTGGCTACAGGACCCAGAGCCAGAGAACCCCAGAGCAGAAGGGCCCCCAGGCATCTCCTCTCAACCTCCCAAGAACGCTGGAAACCCTCCCACCACTATACATGTTGAAAGGGAGAGGATGGAAAGCTGATTTTTTTTTTTAAAACTGCAGTAAGGGCGCCTGGGTGGCTCAGTTGGTTGAGTGACTGCCTTCGGCTCAGGTCATGATCCTGGAGTCCCGGGATCGAGTCCCGCGTCGGGCTCCCTGCTCGGCGGGGAGTCTGCTTCTCCCTCTGACCCTCCCCCCTCTCATGTGCTCTCTCTCATTCTCTCTCTCTCAAATAAATAAATAAAATTAAAAAAATAAATAAATAAAAATAAAAAAATAAAAAACTGCAGTAAAATACACATAACATAAAATTTCCCATTTTAACGTGAACAGTTCAGTGGCATTAAGTACTTCCACGCTGCTGAGCCACCACCAAGACCATCCGTCTCCAGAATGTTCTTCCTCTTGCAAACCTGGGGCTCCAAACCCATTAAATGGTAACTGCTCATTCTCCCCGTCCCCCAGCCCCTGGCAACCCCTGTTCTACTCTCTGTCTCTGGGATTTTGACTGCTCTTTGAGCCTCATATAAGAGTAACCATGCAGGGCGCCTGGGTGGCTCCGTCGTTAAGCGTCTGCCTTCGGCTCGGGTCATGATCCCAGGGTCCTGGGATCGAGCCCTGCATCGGGCCCCACAATCGAGCCCCACAATCAAGCCCCACATCGAGCCCCGCATCGGGCTTCCTGCTCCGCGGGAGGCCTGCTTCTCCCTCTCCCACTCCCCCTGCTTGTGTTCCCTCTCTCGCTGTATCTCTCGCTGTCAAATAAATAAAATCTTAAAAAAAAAAAAAAAAGAGTAACCACACAGTATTTGTCTTTTTGTGACTGGCTTATTTCACGTAGCTTAATGTCCTCAAGGCTTATCCATGTGGTAGCTTGTATCAGAATCTCCTTCCTGTTTAAGGCTGAATAATATTCCATTGTACATATGTATCACATCTTGTGTATCCACTCCCTCATCAGTGGGCACGTGGGGTGCTCCTACCCTCTTAGCTATTATGAATAATGCCGCTGTGAACATGGGTGTGTGAGATCTGTTTGAGTTCCTGCTTTCAATTCTTTTGAGTACTTACCCAGATGTGGAATTGCTGGGTCACATGATAATTCTATTTTTAATTTTTTGAGGAACTGTCATGCTATTTTCCACAGTGACTGTACCATTTTATATTCCCACCAGCAGAACGCAAAGGTTCCAGTTTCTCTACATCCTCGCCAACACTTGTGACTTTCTTTTTTTTTTTTTAAAGATTTTATTTATTTATTTGAGAGAGAGAGAATGATAGAGAGCACATGAGAGGGGGGAGGGTCAGAGGGAGAAGCAGGCTCCCCGCCGAGCAGGGAGCCCGATGCGGGACTCGATCCCGGGACTCCAGGATCATGACCTGAACCGAAGGCAGTCGCTTAACCAACTGAGCCACCCAGGCGCCCCCACTTGTGACTTTCTGTCCTCTGTGTGTGTGTGTGTGTGTTAATAACAACCATCCGAAGGAGTATGAAGTGATATCTCACTGGGGTTTTGATTTGCATTTTCCTAATGATTAGTGATGCTAAGAAATATTTCCATGTGCTTATTGGCCAGCTGAATATCTACTTTGGAGAAAAGTTCCTTTGCCCATCTTTTGTTTGAGTGGTTTTTTTGTTGTGGAAAGTTGATTTTAAAGAAGCTACTGCACTTACTGAATTTGCTCCACTTTGATCCACGGTGTCTTTGAGGCTGCTACCCACCCTCCTTTGCCCAAAGATCCTCCTCTCCAACTTGAATCCGGGAGGTTGGCGTCCCTGGGTTGGTAGCCTTGCACTCATCCCTCCCAGACATCCTTCAGGTATCCACGGATTACTTCTCTTGAGTTAATGAGAATAAACTTGCTTTGTGGCCCAACTTTCTATCAAGTGCAAATTTAACGGCCATGTCCGTGACTCCATCACTCAGCTTAGGCCTAACGATAGCCCATAGCACCAGGCCTCTCAGTAATCACTATGTCGAAACATTACTCAGTATCATATTTCAACTTAAATTGAGTGTAAGAAAGAGTGGGAAAGAGGCAGTCTTACTTGCCAAGCAATGATTTTTTTTTTAAACCAGATATATGCTCCACTTGAGTAAAGAATGATCCTAACCATGTTTTCCAGTTTATTGATAAGATTGACAGGGGAGATAGCATAAGAATCCTTTTCATGTGGATTGCTGGCTCTAGGAAAGCATAAACTGTCTTTCTCTTATTCGTGGCAGCATTCCTGATACCTAGCACTGCACGGCATGTGGAACGTGGTAGGAACTCAGTGTTTCAAAAGCAGTGGTTAAAGCACAGATGTTGAGGCCAGACCACCTGCATTCAAATCATGACTCCGCCACTGACAAGGTGGGTAATTTTGGACAAACTAGTTTACCTTTCTGCGCCTCAAGTTCCTCATCTGTAAGATGGGGATGATAATATTATCTACTGTGGTTCTCATGATGATTAAATTAGTTTAAAATGTGTTCATTGCTGGGGCGCCTGGGTGGCTCAGTCGGTTAAGCATCTAAGTCTTGATCTCAGCTCAGGTCTTGATCTCAGAGTCATGAGTTCAAGCCCCGAATTGGGGCCAGCGTGGAACCCACTTAAAAAAAATGTGTCAAGTGCTGACAAGAGTTGCTGAAATGCTAGTGGGTTATTACTGCTAAACGAGTGAATGAATAAATGTTATATATGTTCACTTCTTTCCATAGTTCCCGTTGGCATAAAAAGAAATGTGATCACGTGACAGGATCTGTTCTCGCACATACGAGAGTAGAAGATCATACACAGAAGTGTTTAGAGGAGATGGTGGTCTTCCGGCCAGGTGACCGAAGCTTGTTTCAGTATTTCCTCATGTATCAAAGTTAGGGGTCAGAAAACATATCTAAAAGAGTTGTCGAAACACCTCAATGATGCCGCTTGGATTTGTATCTTTGAGAGGCTCCCAAAATTACTTCCTTGTGCTTCATGTAACATTTGATGGTATAAATAAGAAAGAGTAAAATTCAAATCAATTAAAAATCTGTAATTAGCAAAGTTGTGCAACCACAATTTGTCTCAGGGCAAGAGACTAAACCTGGTGGTTGCTGCCCTTCGCGGCCTCTGTAAGGCTTCCTGAATTAGAATAAAACATCCCAGTCATACTACTGTTCTCAGATGCCACCGTACATAGGATACTCTCTGATACATTTTCCCAAGACAAAAAGCAAAAATTGTCTGCTCTCATCCTAATATTTTATCTAAAAATGAATCCCCATGGCAGAAACACAAAGTCTACGAGGGGCTGATCAAAGCACTGGCTGACAGACTGCCCCACTGTCCTCGGGATAGACAACTGTTCCAAACATCACCTGGCACCTACTTCTACCTTCTTGGGCCAATGAGGAAAACACCAAGTAAAATGTAGTCATCAACTTGGAAATTTGAGGAAAGCTGTATTTCAAAAGAAGAAATATCAAGGCTCCTCTACCAAGTACAGTAGAGAGTGAATCTACCTGAATTTACGAACACTCTTCAATATAAAAATGTGTTGTTAGATTTTATTTTGGGGAAAACTTGCAATGCATTAAAGACATTTAATACATTGTCAGCAAGTGATTTCTCACTCCTTTGTTTAGGTATTTAACGGTTAAAGGGTTTTTACAAAAATAATTTTTCAACAGAAAAAGAAGGCAGTTCAGGAGGAACAAAATAAGACACGACACATAGAGAAACTGCAGACATAAACCCAACCATACCATTACTTACATTAGATGTGAAGGGACTAAACACTTAAGACAAAAGGCAGGAATTATCAGACTAAATAAAAAAATAAGACCTGGGTGACTCAGTCGGTTAAGTGTCTGACTCTTGATCTCAGCTCAGGTCTTGATCTCAGGGTCGTGAGTTCAAGCCCTGCATTGGGCTCCACGCTGGGCGTAGAGCCTCCAAAAAAAAAAAAAAAAAAGCAAGACCCCACTCTGCGCTATCTGTTAAGAGAGGGAGGATTTGAAGAAATAACAGCTGAGAATTTTCTAGAAATGATAAACAGTACAAACAATACCGATCCGCAGTTTACGATAGCCCAGTGACCCTGACCGAGCAGGAGCCACTCTGAGCTGTTTCACGGTAAGAACGTATAGCGCCCGCAACTACGTCAATTGGAAGCAGCCAGGGAGAAAAGACAGATGACATTAAATGATCCAAAATTAAACAAACAGTTGACTTCTCAACAACTACAAGAGGAGTAAGATCATTCGTGCTGTGAGAAAATGAGAGCTTAGAATTATATATCCAGTTGGAAAAGCTCTTCTGAGAGTAATGCCAATATATTTTCAGACACAAACTGAAAAATTGTGCCAGCAACAGACCCTCACTAAAATTTCTAGGATAATCACTAAACAACAACCAAAACAGAACATTTCTTTTCCAAATCAGTAAGAAAAAAACATGTAACAAAAACATAATTAACCTAAAAGAAGGTAGGAAGAGAGAGGACAGCCTATGAAAGGAAGGGCAGGACAAAGAGAAAGCACAGAAGAAGTAGGAGATACCAACACAAATGTACCAGTATTTACAGTAAGTGGAAATGAACTAAATGTTCCAGATAAGACTGTCAGTCTGAGTTAAAAAAAAAAAAAAATCAGCTGTATATAATGAGCACAAGAGTGAATCTAAAACATAAGAATATAAAAAGTTCGAGGTAGGAGAATGAAGACAGATACTCCAAGCATACATGTGCAAACACGTGCACACACACACACTGCGTGTGTGTATCTGTATATGGACACACAAATGTAGGTAAGTGTTGTGGATGCGTGTGGATGGCATCTAAACTAGATAGATTCTGAGGCAAAATGAATTATGTAACTTATTACATAATGATACAGGGTTGAATCTACCAGGAAGACATAGCAATTCTAAATTTATATGCACCTAAGAGCACAGCTTTAAACTATATAAAGCAAACATTGCTATGACTGTGTGGTGAAATAGGACAATCTACCATCCCAGTGATAGATCTCAACATATCTCAGCTCAATAATTGACCAATTAAGCAAACAGAAACCATCAGTATGAATAAAGAAGATCTGAATAGCAGAACTAACAGCTTAATCTAATAAGATGTATAAAAATGTACCCCCAGATGCAGAAAGTATTCTTTTCAAGCACACATGGAGGATTTATAAGATGTGACCACATGCTGGGCCATAAAGCAAGTCTCAACACATTTCAAGTTCATATAGATGACAGTCTCTCCGAGCACAATTCAATGAAGTTGTTAAAAGCCCATTAACAAAAGATAAGTGGAAAAAAACCCATATATTTGACAATTAGAAAACACAGTTCTAAAATAACTAAGGAGTCAAAGAAGAAGAATGGAAATTTAAAATGATTTAGAATGAAATGATGATAAAAATTTCAGATATTGAAATTTGTGGTCTACAACTAAAGCAGCACTTGGCGGGGAATTATGTCTTAAATGTTTATGTCAGAAAATAAGACAAAAAATTAATGAACTAAGCACCTACTTGAGAGATTAAGAAGGAAAACCAGGTAAAACAGAATGAACTCAAAGAAAATAGAAGAAAGGAAATGTTAGAAATAAGAACAGAAATTCATGAAAGAGAAAGTAAATATATAGTTGAGATCATAAAAAAGCTGGTTCTTTGAAAAGATCAATGAACAGACAAATTTCCGGCAAGACTGTTCAAGAAAATAAAAAAGAAGGCACATTAAGCAATATTAGGAATGAAAAAGACTTAACCGCAGGTGCCGTATGACAATAAACAGATAATTAAAAAACATGAACAGCTCCATGCCAATGAAATTTAACATTTAGATGAAATGGACAAACACTTAAGATATATACATATATTATATATATTTTAGCTTCTATGTTATACATAGCTTAATAAAAGAAGCAGCAGAAAACCTAAATATCCTATAATCATTTTTATAAAAGCATAAGAAGTCTTTCCATAGAAAAAAGACTAGTGCCAGACGGTTTTACAGGCAAATTCTCCCGAAACTTATTATTCTAGAAACAGATAACTCCAATCTTACAGAAACGATTCTAAAACACACAAAAAAGAACTATTCCAACTTATTTTATGAGGCTGGCCCAATCTTGATGCCAAAACCTGACAAGTATACAATGAGAAAGGAAAATTGCAAGCTATTTCACACATGAACAAATATAAATGTTCCTAAAAAATTAGTAAACTGAATCCACTAAAAAAAACTAATATGTCATCATCAAGTTGGGCTTATTCCAGGAATGCAAGGTTAATTTAACATTTAAAAATATCAATTAATATAACATTCACAGGTTAAAGGAGCAAAACCATACAATTATCTCAATAAATATAGAAAAAGCATTTGATAAAATTCAGTATCAATTCATGATTTAAAAAGATCAACTCTTAGCAAACCAGGAAGAAGGAAATTTCCTTAACTTCTTAAATAGTATTTATAAACAAATTTGTAACAAACATAATTCTTAATGGTAAAATACTGAAAGAATTTTATTGAACTATATTGAAGGTCCTACCTAGTCCAGTAAGGCCAATTTTAAAAAGTTGAAGGATTAGAGATAAAGAAATTAAATTTTAATTTCAGATAAAAGTCATTGTATAGAAAGTCCAAAGTAATCTATATATAAATTGTTAGAATTAACACGAGTTTAGCTGAGTTGTTGGGTCAAGAATGTACAAAAATCAGCTGCCTTTTTATACACTAGTAACAAGTAGATAGTAAATTTGATAAAGAAAAAAAGACTGTATACATATAGTGTAACAAATGGAAATTTTTTCAGGTAACTAGGAATAAATCTAGTAAAAAATGGGCAAAATATTTATAAGAAAAATTGTAAAACTTCATTAAAAAGTATTTTTTAAAGACCTAAATAATTAGATATAATGGCCATGGATTAGAAGACCCACTGTCACAAATACAGAATTCTCCCCAAGCTGAGCTATTAGATTGTCATTCCAATAGATTTTTTTGTTGTTGAACTTGACAAACTTGATTCAAAAATTTATATGCAAACTCAAAGGCCTGAAATAGCCACAACACTCTTGAAGAGCAAGATACAGGGAGGGACCTACCTCACATATAATAAAGTTGTAGGAATGCAATCACACATAGATGGCACACTGAAAGAACCAAGTAGAAAGGTCAGAAATCGTCCCCCTCCAACCCCCCGACCCCCCCACCCACATATCGGCATCTGATTTAAGACAAAAGTAGCACAAGGAGCAACAGGGAAGGGATCTTTCCAGTACACAATGCTGGGACAATGGGGTATCCATGTGGGGGAACACTACACTGAATCCTTCCCACCATACAGACATCAAACAATCATTTCCAGATGGACCCTTAGATTTAAGTGTGAAAGGTAACACAAAAGAGCTCTTAGAATATAACTTAAGAGACTGTCTTCGTGACCCCGGAGAAGGGAAGGGAAGGTTTCTTAAACTAGATGCAGAAAGTACAATCCATGAAGGAAATGGTTGATAAATGCAACTACTTTAAAAATAAGAACTTCTGTTCATCAGAAAACAAGTCACAGATGAGGAGATGATTTTTACGACAATGTAACCAACAAAGGGCCTTGTAACCATAATATATAAAGAACTTTTACAAGTTGGCATGAAAAAGTCAACCCAATTAGCAAAGAGGAAAGACTTCTCCCTGTGCTTCACCGAACAGAAAAGCTGAATGGCCAATATACAGAGACAAAGGTGTTCAACCTCATCATGCCACTTAAACTCAGAACGTGACACCATTAACCAGCAACCACGAGGCCAAAAATAAGTCTGAAACACGGGGGCAGGGGCGGGGTGTTGGTGCGTGCAAGCCCACAGGCTCTCGGGCACAGCCGCTGGGAGTGCAAAGTGGCACGGCCCCTTCGGAACAGAGTTTGGAATTATTTGGTAAAACCGAGGAGGCACATATCCTATGACCCAACAATCTCACTCCCAGGTAATACCCAGAGAAGTACGTGCACCTGTGTGCCAGGAGACCCATACGGGAGTATCTACAGCAACTCTGCTCCTAACAGCTGAAAACTGCAAACAAACCGTATATCCATTTCCAACAGCCTGGAAAAATACACCATGGTATATTTATATAATAAAATACTATGTATCAGTGTAAAGGAATACATTGCTGCTGCGTGCAATAAGGATGAACCTCTGGAACACTGAACCTCCGGAATGTAGTAATGTTCAGCGACAAAAGCAAGCAGCGTAAGGACATAATCAATACAATTCCATTAAAAATTTTTAGATATGCAAAACTAGAAATTTTTATTATTTGGGAGTGCGAACATATATGGTATAGACACACAAGGGAATGCCCCGCCTAGAATTCAGGATGTGGTTAACATCCGGAGATGTTAGAGAGGTAAGGGGATAGGATACACAGGCACAGAGGAAATTCATAGGCAATATTTATCTTCTATTTCTTAAACTAAGAAGTGGGTATATGTGTTAGTCATATTATTATTTTAAATATATTTAATAAGTATCCTTTGGCTTTTGCTCAATATCTAATGACAAC